GAAAAGTTTGACAATTTAGGGGTTTCAAAGGTTAATTTAAACGATTTAATGTCCCCACCCCCAAAGGCCCCACCCTGACGCCTCCCATGCGCGGATGTGAGGGAGTGTGGAAAATGTTCATGAGGGAAGATTTTTTTAGGAAAGAATTTTACCTTATAACATGACCTCTTGTTCTTACCGATAAGACTCATGAAAACAAATATGCCTATTAAAAATAGTAGATAATGTAGAGATAGGGCCATATCCTGTAATGTTCTAGAGTGGACCCAGAAAGCCACACTGGTTAAACATGCTACCACAAAGAAATAATGACCAAATCAAAATTCGTATTTTAAATAATGTGAATAACACAGTGCCAGTATTCCGTAAAAGATAGAAAAATAAATTGTTTATCAATGCCATAAGGAAATGGAATAAGGCGATAGTAGACCTATTCCTCCATGATTAAATAAATAGTGTGCAAGAAAAACGAACGCATTACGCACTGTAATACAATAAGAGTAACAATGACTATTCCTATTTCATATTTATACGAGTTACAGGGTATTGTGAAATATAATTTATTATTAAAATATGCAATTAAATAAAACATGTGTTATGGATACACAGGGTACAATATGCTACCGCCTCATGACGAATCCAATTCCGCTCTCTATGAGCGCTGGACGACGCGACGCCGTCTGCTGATTGCTGATTGATCGTCATAGAAAACAATTTGTTGCGCGGACGTCGTCGCGTTGCGCTCTGCGTAGAATCGCGTCGGCCGACGACCGTTTGACGCAGTGAGTGACGCAGTGAGTGCCCTGCTTTAGGCTAAAATAATGGTTATGGCTGTGTTCAGCCCCAATGACTGACGCTATTAGTAACTTTAATCGAGTGGTGTGAATTTGTGCGCGGAGCAACAGAACCCAGATTAGCATACGTCACTGACTTACGACAGTTGAGCATCAATGATATTGAACTCGGCCAAGATTTGACCAATCACAATAAGCCAAGATGTAAATAGGAAGTAAAACGAGCGATTACGAATACGAATATTCCGCGCGAATACTTACGCTTGCGCTCGTTATTCGCCCAATCTAGACATCTCGCTAGTTACGAGGATTAACGTACGCCCAACGTTAAATACGACTGGCCTTAGCTTTAGAGTTTCGATTAGAATAACAGACCCGGTAGGGACTAATACAATACGGCCTGCAGTAAGGAATTACCAACACTCATAGAGACATGTACTATCACTTGAATTGCCTCAAGCTTTGTTTAAATTAAGCGCTGTGTTTGATTCTGGTAGTTCTTTAAAAAAAAATCTCCCAACTTACGCTCAGACATGGAATACTTAATATTAGGCCAAATAAAAAATTACTTGTTTAGCGTCACATCACAACACAATTTTAGGTGGGGAGGGGCGGGATTTTTTTTTTGTGTTTTTTTTTTTAATTCTACAGATCAGTAATCAAATAAAATGTGTTAAAATTAATCATTTTCAATAGGCCTAAAATAATAATAACACCTAGTTAGTGAAATCATTGTTTTAATTCACTTAAAATAGGTCTATACTTATTTTGATTAGAATGTCCTGGACAATATTCTTTAAAAAAAAAATTAAAATAATAATAATAATAAAAATAATAATAATAATAATAATGATCTCACACGTAAGATGTGTATAAGAGACAGATATATATATATATATATATATATCCCATTTGCCTTTCAAACTTATTCCAATTCCAATCTACAGACAGTACCGTTTCGATTTTGTTAGATCTCATCAGATTTCAAGAATAAAACACACGACAGACTCAAACATGGTTTGGGTCAGCCCTGTGTGACGTGGTACACTGATTATGAATACAAGAGTGCACAAACCCAAATGAGTGTGCTATGTAAATTGCAAAATAGTGTTACATAAACAATGCACCATCTTAAAATAAGAGTGCTCTACAAAACAATGTACTACCTTAGCAGCACAGTAAAGGAGTAATATCAGTTGCTTGTAAGGGTGCATGCGTTAAGTATTAAATTTAGAGAATAGAATAAGGCCTACTTTTGCTGTATTGGATTTATAAATAAAGCACTATATAGGCCTAATTATGACCACGAATAAAATAACGAAAGTTGAGTTTAATTGGTTTCCACATTGACGTTCAATTAAACAATACCCGCATTTCTACGTTGATATTAGCAAACAAAAGCGTCATATGTAATGGCGAAGCGATTACACGCTACCATATGGTTAGGCATGGGGTGCCAGACAAAACAGGTGATACCAGCATGCTACCGAATTGATTGCTTGTATCAACGTAATTATCGATTTATTTAAATATTAATTTTGTTGGCATATAGCTAAATCTATGCTAGAGCCATCACTCTTTGGCTTGATATATTGGAGATTTTCTAAAGGATAGCTGACACGCTTGTATTAGGATATGCTAAATACTACCGCAATTGACCTCAAGTAAAGTAGCAACTGAGATTAAATTTCAGGTATTTATTCAAGCCTTCTTCTTGTATTTTTTATTTAAGTATAATTACCTATTTTGAAAAGAACAGTCGCCCAAAATGCCGGGTTTGGAAATATCAGATGGGTGTGTGAAACAATACTACCTATAGTGATTCATTTTTAAATATAACTACCATATTGAACCAGGTCGTAGGAAAATACATTGTAGCTTACAAAACAGTCACTAGTTTAGCACAAGGACATATGGCACTTTACTACAGACAGTAGAAGTCCCATCAGGTTTGAATCCCGGTTGGGTGACATTTTTCACGGTCACAGATTTCTTTTCGTTAACGTTCAAAAATTTATATTAAATAATAGCTTTGCCGCTGGACGGTTTTGAGTTTACTCTATTATCAATATGTTCAAAAGTATATAGGAACATGATGTAATAAAATCCTATCAAACATAGTTCATCAACGAAAGCTTTTTTTTTTTTATTATAGTGGTATGAATAAAAAAGATCTCGGGTAGGAATTGAACCCGCAATCTCTCGCTATCATACCGTTTATATCACAGAGGCTCGTATGACTTTATGGGGTCAAGAATACTACTGTAGTATCTCTCTCTCTCCCTCTCTCTCTCTCTCTCTCTCTCTCTCTGTCTCTGTCTCTCTGTCTCTCTGTCTTCCATACAGCTTGAATGCTTACACATGGTAGTGAGGCTAATATTGAAGCTATGAAATAACTTATAGGTAGCAGCTGGTAAGTCATAGGAAATAATTTTCAAATCAAGTTTGCTGGCTAGCACTGGAAACACAAGTAATGTATAAATTAAATAGATAATAATCCAGTGCTCAAATATATATAGGAACATGATGTTATAAAATTGTATAAAAATAGTTCATCAACGAAAGCTTCCTTCTTATATTTTCTGTATAAAAAAAGAGGAGGTACGGTATCTGGTGAGAATGGAATCCACGATCTCTGAGTACCTCCTCGAGAGTCATATTGCTTAAACCACAGGCCCTATGCGATATATTTGATTTTTACATTATTTTTGTTCCTAGTGCTAGGCATAATATATATATATATATATATATATATATATATATATATATATACATGCATATATATATAATACATAATGGTATATAGAGTTAAATATATGCATAGATTTGTAAACGTTAAAGTAGAGGAATCTGTGAGTGGGAAAAAAACATATTCGAACCGGGGACTTTCTGTGTCTATACAGACGCCTTAACCAACTAGGCCATTGTAGGCATTTGTGTAGAATTTAAATACGATTGAAGTAGCCCTACCTAATTATCTCACACGTATGCACATGCGAATTAGACGAGACCTCCAAAGAGACAATTTGTATAGGTAAATTATTGCTGTAAAGAATTAATTTTTTACAGCCCCCTCTACTAGCACGTAGGCAACCCCCTTTTTAAAAGTCCACTTTAACCTCATCTAAACTCCCCTCCACTAAACCGATACATGGCAACACACAATGTAACAGCTCTAGATGTTAATTATGCAACATCATCAATACTGACATCTCATTCACTCCAACAGGGACACAAATAACAATCCGGCCACCAGTATTGAATTGTAACTCGACCAATATTATATACCTCACCACCACCCAGAAACATTGAAACAGACGGTGAAGACAGTGACCAACAATCAACAACAGATGAATATGACTGGAGGTATAGGATTTAAAACGAGAATTTATATCAAATAACAAACATCATGCCACTTAGGACCT